CGCGCCCGGCCTCGATCTGCGCAAGGCCTGCCAGAACCTCAAGGTGCTCGTGCTCGACGAGGCCGACCGCATGCTCGACATGGGCTTCCGCAACGAGCTCGAAAAGATCCTCAAGATGCTTCCCGACCCAGTGGCAAGCCAGCGTCAGTCGCTCTTCTTCTCGGCCACCATCCCGTCGTTTGTGCACGACGTCGCCAAGCTGCGTCCGGACCACGCATTCATCTCGACCCTCACCGAGCAGGACACCAACACGCACGAGCACGTGCCGCAGGAGTCGTACGTCTGCTCGCTCCGCGAATGCCTTCCGCGCGCGCTTCAGGTCGTGCTGGCCGAAGCGGTGCGATACCCGGCCAACCACAAGATACTCGTCTTCCTGCCCACCGCCCGCTCCACCTCGTTGGCCGCCGCGGTGTTTTCGCAGCTCAGGGGTCTGGCTGGCTCGCCCTACGCCAAGCTGGGGCAGGTGTTTGAGATCCACTCGCGCAAGTCGCAGGCGGTGCGCACCAAGACCATGGAGACCTTTCAGTCGAGTGCTTCGGGCATTCTGTTTTCCTCGGACGTCACGGCGCGCGGCATCGATATCCCCGGCATCTCGCTCGTGCTGCAGCTGGGCCTGCCGAGCAATCTCGAGCAGTACATCCACCGACTCGGTCGAACCGCGCGTGCAGGCAAGGAGGGTCGCGGAGTGCTCATCCTCGCCGACTTTGAGCGCTTCTTCCTCGGCCAGAACGACGTGAAGCGTCTGCCGATCACGCAGCTCAACGTGCGTGCGGTCGAGGCCGAGAGCGGCGTGGCGCTTGGCGAGGTCGCCCAGCATGTGGACAGGGTGATGCAGGGCATCGATGCTACAACCAGGAGCCAGGCATACCAAGCACACCTCGGATTCTACAAGGGCTACCTCAAGCAGCTCAGGTGGAAGCCCGAGGAGCTCATCGATGCCACCAACGACTATGCCAAGGATATCCTGCAGTGGCCCGCACAGCAGGATGGCTCCTGGGTCGGTCCTCCTCTGCTCCAAAAGACTGTCAGCCTGATGGGTCTCAAGGGCAAGCGCGGTCTGCACATCGTCAAAGAGCTCCCCGGAAAGCCTAACGGAGCCGGTCAGAAGAGACAGGGTAATGGTCAGGGCGGCAGCCGTCCAAACAAGCGATAGAGGCATACACAACGCCAATCCCACCTTTAATATCACAGGCGCCAGGAAGCATCGGAAGGGAGAATAGTGGTGAGCTTTGTGTTGTAGGTGGCATTGTTGGGCGTCGAGGGAGGGTGGGGTGCAGCTGCAAGGCTGGCCCTTGACTTGATTGTGCCACTCGGACATTGTGCCGTCGGCTGGGTGCCTGGCAAGCTCGGCTTCATCTCGTGTACGGTGGGGACGATGAATGGATTCGTGAGATCGCGCAAATGAGGTCGGTGAGGTGGGAGGCTCAGTACGGTCATGACTGGGTCTTGGGGTGAGTGAAAAGTACATAAGGCCAAGTTTCCTCGCCCTTGCCCTCCCCTTCGCTCCCTAATCCGGTTCACCTTAGAAAACTTTCAGTGTGAGTTTGATGCGACGCAAGCCCAATTGGTGTGGATGCTGACGTGGTGGGGTTGGATTGCAGATGCAGATTCTTCGTCCCTGTCTTGGTGTGGTCCTGCTTGCGCTGGTTGCAGGCAACCATGTAGCTGCCCAGAGCAACCGCTCGGACGCAGAGCACAAGCTCATCAAGCGTTCGCCCAAGACGGTTGTGCACCATCACTACCACCATTCCCCCGCCCCCGCTCCTGCTCCTGCTCCCGCTTCCGGAGGAGGGGGAATGTTCGGTGGCGGTGCGGTCAAGAACATTGCTGCCGGTACAGTGTTGGCTGGAACCGGCGCTTTTGCAGGCACCATCGGCGCTACTGAAGCTAAGCGTCTCCTCGGCAGTGATGACCATGACCGCGACAACAACGATGGCAACAAGCATCAGGCGAGGGAGAAAGACGACCAGCAGAACACTCAGCCCCAACCTCAGCCCCAGCCTCAGGGTCAGCCTCAGGGTCAGCAGGTACAGCCTCAGGCACAGACCCAGCAGGTACCTGCTAACGTCGCTGCGGGTCAGACCAACAGACATGCTTATCCCGTCGCGATTCTGATGTCCGATGGCTCGTACGAGCCTCTGCCCTCCCAGCTCGCAGCTCAGAGCGCCAACACGGCAGACGCCCGAGCCACGGCCGGACAGCAAGATCGTAGCCCCCTCTACGACGTAGACACCTCTCCTCCCCAGCCCAGGTACCAGGCTGCTGATGCCCAGCCGCAGTATCCGAACTACGCTGCTCCTGGCGCCGGTGCTGGCGCTGGATGGGGAGCGGGTGCTGGCGCTGGCGCTGCCCCTAGCGCTGACACAGGTGGCTTCGTTTTCCCTCCCTCCAACTAGCCCTAAACACGTTCCCTCCGCCCAGCACGATCCTTCCTCTCTGCTTCACAGCGGTCGCTCGTTTGGTTCTGCGAACCTGCAATCTCGATTTCGGTGCACGTCTACAGCTTGAGTCTGAAGCGCCTTGCGGTGAGCAAGCGTGCAAAAGCACAGCACGCGCCCGTGTAGACGAGCAGGATGAGCACGGCGACGGCGTCGCGCGCATACATGGTCTGCGTCGCCATATTCACCACGCCCGTGAGCAAATTCGCCACCAGGAACACCACGAGCGAGTGGCGGTTGATATCGTCCAGAATGCGCGGCGTCACCGGATCTCCTCCTCCGCCCGGCGTTCCCTCGACGGGCTGGAGGATGAACAGATAGACAAGCACGTATCCGAGCAGGAACGAAGTGTTGAACGCCACCACCCACAGCACATACGGCAGATTGGCCAGGCGTCGACTCGTGCCCAGCCGCACGGCGCACGCTGCCGCATACGCCATCCACCACACGATCGAGAGGCTGGCGAGAACCATGGCGAGCTTATCGGTGCGTGGGCGCGCGCGCCGCCGCCTCAGCTTGCGGTACGCAAAGTACGGATCGAGCGGCAGCACGTAATGGCCCAAGTCGAGGCCGAGGTAGAAGATGGCCAGGTAGCCAGGCATGCTTGTGAGGCCCTCCTTGTTTTGCGCCACAAGCGTGTCGCGCGGCACTGTATCCGAGACCGCCCATTGCTGCCAGTCGGTCGTCTTGAGCAGCACCTGGTGCACCACCGTCAGCACGAGCCCGATCACGCTGTACCGCGCATGCCTCGCGACGGGCCGTGAGAGCGTGGCGGCAAAGGGGAGCAGCGCGAGGGTGAAGAAGAAGTTCCAGTGCACGCCGTACTCGGACACGTGCTCCGGATACGCTACGCCCTTGACCATGATCACGCGCACCGAGCCGAGCAGCACGAGCGGCACGCTCTTGCGCACGTCGGCCGCCAGCTGCTGGCGCCAGGGCCGGAAGCGGTTGCGCGCGCTCTTGAGCATGGGCAGCGCCGAGACGATGCCGAGGGAAAAGACAAACGAGCCAACGCCCATGTCCATCCAGCTCGTGCCCCACGATTCGCACTTGGCCATCGCGCGCGGGAAGGCGGGGAAGTCGACGGCGAGGATCGAGATGACGGTGACGAGCATCATGTGCGCGCGGTACACGGTGAGGAACGGCTGCGGCTGTACGAACGCGCTGCGGTCCGAAGGCGCTGATGCGGTGCTCCCCGTTGGGCCAGGCGACGATGTGGAGTCGGAATGCGTGGCGGATGCAGAGTGGTCGAGCGAGGGCGGCTTGGACTTGCTCCACGGATCGACGACGCTGCGCGCAAGCGGCGACATGGCCGAAGATGCCGACACGGCCGATTGCGCATCGGAGCCATCGCGCGAGTGGAGCAGCTGCATGGATGCGGTCCTGTTGGCGTTGTCTGCGGCGCGAGGTGTGGGAGAAGGAAAGGCCGATATGGACGCCATCTCGGGCGACAGCAGCGCCGAATCTGGGCTGCGCGATGCGAAAGTCGAGCCTGCCGAGCCGAGAAGCGGGCTGCGCGGTGCGGTGCTGATCGAGGTATCGATGGACAGATCGGCGTTGGAGCGCAGAGCCGCGCTCGACGACCCCGGCCCATCGTAGAAGTTGGGCGGCGCGGCTGCTGCGTGCGCTGCATCGGCGGCCGAGTCGATCGACACACGGAACGGCAGCTCGGCCTCGGCGACGAGCGCGTCGGAAGGGCGTCTTGGTGCGGCTGCCCCTGCTGGGCCGGCCGGCTCCCTGTAAGCGGACGCGTCGTCGTCCTGTCTGCCATCCTCGTCGTCGTCCATGTACTTTTTCGACCAGTGCTGTTTTCTGGCGCTGTTCTGAGCCGGCCTGTCCGCCCTCGCTGATGGTGGTCCGGTACGCTCGAGCACTACGAGCAGCACGAGCAACGCGCCGATGGTGAGCGACAGCTGCGATGCGAGCACGGTATGCGCGGCCACGACCGGCACGATGAGGATGACGAACTCGAGCTGCCAGTCGGACAGCCTTGCGGCGGCCGCGAACACGTGCGCGAGGACGACATTGCTGAGCTCATTCGGCCGACGGCGATGGAGTGCGCCGACGAAGCGGATGCGCTTGGCGCGGAGCAGCGCCCATGCAGCGTAGGTCGCCAGCACAGTGAGCGCAAGCGCGTTGACAAGGTGGACGGAGCTGCCGGTCTGGTCGGCGATCCACGCCTGTTTGAGGTCCTTGTAGGATGCCGCCTCGGCGGCTGCTGCAATATGAGACGTGAGATGGGAAGGGTCTGGTGGGTCGTGGGCTTTGCCGTGCTGGTTGTGGTTGAGGTTGTGATGACGATGGAGGGCGTCGACCGCGGCCAGAGGATCGTCGGAGCTGGTGGCGCCGCGGTCCATGCTGGTGTGGATGCAGAGTGGGAGAGTAAAGCGTCAGGGGCGCCTCGATGCGGGCATCGTGGTCGGAACGCGATGGAAAGCGACGGTGGTGGCAGTGAGCGAGGTGTTGGTCTGTTGCCGACGCCGCGCCCAAAATCGACGCTCGAAGAATCGTCGGCGTGGGTGTGGGGCCAGCTGCTGCGGAGGGTCTTCTTTTGGGCACGTCCCTCCACATCGCCTTTTGTCGGCCCTGCTGCCTGTGTCCAGCCTGAAAAGGGTGGTGCAGCTCGCTGCCCCTGAAGAAGACAGGCAGACTTGAGCCCACCACCCGATCCTGCTGGCCACCATCCAGCACTCGCATCACAGCAAAAGAGCCGACTAGAGTACACGCGACCACTAGAATCAAGCCGTTGTTATCGATCGGATCGCGCTCCGAACCAAGCTTTGGGTGGCCAAGGTGGCGTGGGTTCGCACCATGAGTGCTTCGGCTGATCCGTATCTGCTGGCATCGACGATTCTCACGCCGGACGAGCTTCCGAAACTGGCGTTGGTCACCTACGACGCAGCCGCACACCTCGATGCTGTCACGTCATCTTCGGATCTGCCGCCGCCGCACCTGCAGCGCATCTTTGTGATTGTGTCGAATGTCACGTTGGGCGTCGAGCAGTCGTGCGTGCTCGTCATCAAGCCGCGGCGCAAGGATCCCACCACGGCAGCGCTGCTCAGCGTCATCCCCATCCTGCCGGACCTCAAGATCGAGATCGAGCCGCAGCAGGGCCTCACCGCCTCGGCCGCCACGCCGCGCAACCATCCGCCCGCCGCCACCACGCTCGGCCTCTCGAGCCTGCCGCAGTCGCTGCCCACCATCCACACGCTGCTCGAGAGCGTCGTCCCAGACCTCTTTGCGCCAGACAAGGCCGCCACCTCCAATGCGGCGCTCCGTTTCTCGCTTTCCTTTGCGGGGCTGTCCGCCGAGGGCATCACCAGCGACGCACGCGGCCTCAAGGACTTCCTCAGCGTCCTCAAGGACCTCCTCAAGGTGGCGCAGCAGCATGCGTTTTCGGCGGCGACCACGCACCAGTGGATGAGCGCATACACCCAGGATCTCGCCGGTCCGAGTCACGAGCATGCGCCTACAGCTGCACCGCACCTCGACACGCCCGTCTTCTCGCGCCTTTCGCACAGCAGCTTTGTGCCCAGCTCGGCCGAAGCGGCCACCGCACCGGCGCGGCCGGCATCGCCCACCGCCAACGACATCCGCATCTCGGTCGGCACGTTCAACGTCAACGGCCAGCTGCCGCGCGAGGACATCCCGACGATCGTTGGCCTCAAGCGCTGGCTGCGCGCCGAAGAGGATCCGGACCTCATCGTGCTCGGCTTCCAGGAGCTCGACACGTCCAGCGGCGCGTACCTCTACTACTCTCCCGCGCGCGAGCACGCATGGACGCACGCCATCACCCAGGCCCTCGGTCGTCGCGCCCCAAGCTACCGCAAGATCGCGGCGAAACAGCTCGTGGGCCTGCTCATCCTCGTGTTTGCGCGCGCCGAGGTGGAGCACGAGATCACCGACGTGGCTGCCGCGAGTGTCGGCGTGGGGCTCGGCGGGTTCGTGGCGAACAAGGGCGCAGTGGCCGTGCGGATGCAGGTGGGCAGCAGGACACTGTGCTTTGTCAACTCGCATCTGTCGGCGTTCGAAGGATTGCAGGCCATGGAGAGACGGTGTTGGGATTGGAACGAGATCTACAAGCGGCTCAGGTTCCGCATTCCGCTGCAGAAAGGGGAGGGTGTGGATGGCTTGACTACAAGCAGCAGCCAGGAGGCGGACAGGGAACACGAGGCTGCGCATGACGATGCTGTAGCAGTGACGGCGCAAGCAGTAGACGCATCGAGCGAGCAAACCAAGCCCACCCCCGCTTCCGACCGGGACAGTCGTGCGTTGAGCACACCACCGACGGACGACTCTGCCACTGACCCTGCTTGGCACTCTGGCGTCGACGTCAGCACCGTCTCGACGAGCGACGTGGACGGCGCAGCAGCCGAGGTGCTCTCGACGCCGTTCCGCGAGCATTCCATCCTAGAGCACGACGTGGTCTTCCACTTTGGCGACCTCAACTTCCGGCTGGACCTGTCGCACTCGGAAGCGCACCGGCTCATCCGTGCGCGCCAGTACACCCTTCTGCACCGGTACGACCAGCTGGAATCGCTGCGCACATCCGGCGCGCTCTTCGACGACTTCCTCGAGGCACCGCTCACATTCGCGCCCACGTACAAGTTCGACCTGAACACCGATCGGTACGACACATCCGACAAGCAGCGCGTGCCTGCCTGGACGGACCGCATCCTGTGGAGCGTCACATGCGAGTGGACTGACGACGGTTCGCTCTCCGCTACCGCCGAGGCGGGCGACAAGGAGCGCCGGTTGGGGGTGGTGCAGCAGTCGTACGAGTGCGTGTCGGAGCTCAAGTTTAGCGACCACCGTGCTGTGCGTGCGACGTTTGTGGTGCGGATACGCTAGATTCCCAGACTTCTAAACACACCTAGCCAACCACGACTGCCCCACTGCACCCACTGGGTGGATGACGAGAGCAGAGTGTGCGCGGTGGCGATGGCGCCCGTGTCGCGTGCGGCAAGGATGCGGTTGAACAACGCTGCTGTGTGGGTGAAGTGCGTGATGGATGGTGCAGCAGCATGAAGTGTGGCAGCGAGGTAGGCGAGTGTAAGCCGCGTGCGCACTGCGTACCAATCGACACCATCCGAATCGATCCATCCCGTCCGCTGCTGTGCTGCAGGATGCGCTAGTGCCTCGCCTACGAATCCGGACGCCATCTCAAGCAGAGGTCGTGGAGTGGGAAGGTCCGGTAGCACCGTCTTGTGTGGAAATACACTGTGCCATGTTGAGGTCTCGGGTGATGCGGTCGAAACCGCCGCCAGACCCTGTTGAAGATGCGGGCGTGCATTCCAGCTTAGCCTGAGTCGATCCAGCATAAGTTCAGCCACCTTTGCAAGTGCCTTGCGCTGTTCCTCCTCGCTGAGTTGTGCGTTGATTCGAACTGGTCTCTGCGACTCGCCGTCGAGTGTTCCGTTTGCGCGAAGGATTGCGATGATGTCCTGTGGGGTGGTGGCGCGAATGGCGGCGTGATTCGAGACGCTATTCCACGTCTGAAACAGTGCGGCTTCGAAGGTGGAATCTGGCCCCGGAAAGAGCGTGTCTACTGTGCGTGAGCGCCGGTCCAGGTCGGTCTGCGCGCCGGCGGCATGGATGTAGGCATGCTTGCTGAATCCGTACTGCGACACTGCAGGCAGCGCATCGAGCAACACTGTCGTCGTCAAGTCAAGCCGAGAATCGCGTGGATGAGTCGATGTGCTAGCTGCCGTGTAGCGCCGTATCGCTGTGTTGCGAGTCGTGCGCGAAAGGGTGACGAGCGCTCGTAGTGTACCGCGCATCATGGTGCGTCGTGTGCCGTCAAGGTGATGCCAGTCGTGATGGAAGACGAGCAAGGTGCAAGCCTCAAAAAAGCCAGCCGCTGATCTTCTCAGCCAAGCCCCCCAAAAAAAGTGGAGGTTCCGAGTCCCGCTCAACGCCTCGTTCTCACGACATCAACAAGCCTACACAGACCTTTTGGGGCGGGATGAGGACTGCATTGCATCTTTGGGGCGCTATACACCGTAGAGTACGCTCTTGTAGTCGCGCAAAATGACGCCCACGCTCTCTGGCCCGGACAGACCCACCTCGCTGGCGACGGCCGAGATGAATCTGGGCGGGGTGACGTCGTACAACAAATTGACCACCGCGAGGTTCGGTGAGCGCTGCCACTCGGCCACGTCGATCAAGCCCGTGCGCTTTGCATCGTCCTCTGCGTCTGCATCTGCATCGTCGGCAGCAGGAAGCAGCAGATCCCGCGGATTGCCGGCCTCGTTCTGGACGAACGAGTCGAGCTGGACGCGCTCGGAGAACTTGTACGTTTCGCAGCACACGATGACGGGGATGCCCTTTTCGCGCGCCATCATGGCGCACGTCGCCGTGCCCGCGCGCGAGTAGAGCGCACCATTCGCAAGCAGCGCCGACGTTCCGAGCAGCAACAAGTCGGCACGTGGCATGAGCGACGACAGACTCGAAATCAAGCCGTATGTGCACGGGATCCCCGCGGCAAGCAGAACGCTGAGCAGAGCTTTGCCTTCGAGAAGGGGGCGCGTGTCGATGACGATGACCTCGAATCGCACACCGCGCTCCCACGCCGCAAGCAGCGTGCCCTCGACCACGCTGGACCGCGCAAACGTCATGACGACATCGCCGTGCTTGATCTTGCTTCCCGCCTGGGTGCGGATGATCTTGGAGGCGTACACGATACGGTCCCTTACGAAATGGTCGATCCTCTCCAGCAGATGTTCCTTGGCCTCGTCCTCGGTGAGATCGGCGCTCACCACCGAGATCTCGTACTTGAGGTAGCGCACTGCGACGCCCTGGGAGGTGCCCATGGCGCGCGCATCGACCAGATGCCCCACCTGCGCGCTGACGGTCTTGAGCAGGTCGCGGTTGAGCATTTCGCCGCGCGGGGTGGTGTAGTCGCGAATCACGTCGGCCATGGCACGCAGCAGCGCGATCGCGCGCGTGTCGGCGCCCATGAGCTTGTACTGCGCCAGCTGCGACGCCAGCCGCAGGATCGACGGATGGATGTTGGAGCGGAACGACGCAGAGACCTGCGCGGCAATGTGCGCGTTGTGCGGCTTGGCCGACGAGACGTTGCCGAACAGCGCCACCGAGGGATGCGCGGGTGCGGCGCGGGCGGGTGCGGCGCCATCCTGAGCTCGACGTGCTCCACTGCTAGACGCTGCGGCCGCCATAGCTGTACCGGCCGCCGCTCCAGACGCACCTGCGGCGCCGCCGAGTTTTCCGCTAGCCGCATTGGCAGATGACGAGCCGGGACGCTTGCCTGCGGGTGG